GTGTCATACTTAGGTTGATTTTTGTTTCTCTTCACATCCAAACACGTTATTAAGTTCGGAAAATCGGTCGTCCTTTTGAGAATCTATTGGTAGCATTGAATTAAGAAGTAAACATCCGATCTAGATAGACAATCTGTAGCCAGTTTTAAATATTAAAAAGTAAATTGTTGAATGAACCGTCATTATAGTGCACTACTATTGAAATTCCATTGTTCTTTTAGTTTTTGTTAGTAAAATAATTGGTATTTTATAAAGGGGAACCTGTGTTATTTCGCAGAAAAATAAGATTGCTCATTCTTCTTGTATGAATGAAACCATTAAGCTCGTAAAATAATCAGGTAAGTAAAAGAACACTTGTGTGATTGATTTAAAATTCACAGCACATAAATTATCTTTGAAAACTACATTGGTTGTATGTACATAAACATAAAATCCTATAAACATTTCTTGTGTACAAGTTGTACTTCGGCCTTGTTTTCATATCTTTTTTTAAACACCCTTTATAAAATTACCACTTCTAAAGTACTGTGTATACATAAAAAGTGGTTGGTTGCCCCTATTTTGAAACCCTACAGAAATTTAAAACATTTTTTGGAACATAAACTACGAAACCCAAGTTTACTTGTTGCTCGAAATCGAGCAATTGCGAAGTGTTGCAGGCGTTATTTTAAAAGAGTCAACTAAAAGAGTATAAAAATACTCACGATGTACATAACAGATCGATATAATTAACATTTCTTGTAAATATCTTATAATTTTTCAAAAGCTGATCTTGTTTTAGGGTTTCCTACAAATGTTTCCCACTCATAGCCGCTTTAGGTAATAACGATTATAAATGAAAAAAAAAACATTATTTCTATTTCTTCTACTTGGTGGTGTTCTATGACTTTCCTGTGTTTCTATAGTTTGCAAAGCGGCTCTTTCAATGATTGCTCAAGAAATGCAGCACAGTTTTTATTTAGTTTTATTTTTAGTATATCAAACTTTTCAGACTTACACGATTTTGTCCATTATAATATTTACGCCAACCCAAATTCAAATAGGTAGTAAATATTTGATGTCAACCAAATCAGTAAATGTTTGTAGCACACGTTTCATAAAATTGCTACTAAAATATTGACAGCAATTTAATTATCCAGTTGATCATAATGTAAACAAATATTTATTCTTCATAAGGATAACATGCGAACTTTAAAAGCCACTGGGGCAGAGCCCAAGGGACTTTTCCAAAAATGTAGGGTCATTTTGCAAATCTACACACCTAGAAGAACATTTTGGTATATAATATGTGGGGTTAAATCTTAAAATAAAAAGCCTTATTGTTCACAAAGTTTGATGAAGATATTTAGATAAGGTAGTTAAAACATCTGATACTGTAGAAGATTGCCAGTGTAGGGGTGGTCGGTGGTCCACTGTGGCCCGGGTAGCCCACTTCCGCGCCGCAGCCCCACATTTTGGCGACGCCTGTCCGCATGTTCACGGTTTCGCCCCGACTGAGACAAATTGGGAGCGCACGTGTCCAACATACTTCCGCCCCCCATAAATATACGTGACACCGGCATTGACCCTCATCGTTATTTGTTTTTGGGTCGAAATGCCTCCTTGGATCCTCATTTGTCCCTGACAGCCTTTATCTTTGGCAAATGGCAAATGTTGAATGTTCCTAGATCCCAGGCCTCTTGATGACCTGGTTTTGGAGCTCTTTGTTTCGTCTTTGTTCTGCTTTATACATTTGGTTCTGTTATAACTAAATTTTCAATTTATTATAAGTGAAGTTTGCTTATGATTGGTTGATTCACACTAGCAGTATAGTCGATTTACGGTTAGTTTATTTGGGCGATTATATAATTACTACTCATCCATCAATGATCTTATAAAGAAGTTGTGGTTCTGTATACCCGTGCGCTTGTTTCAGGGTAACGCAAATATTGAACCAACTGGGCTGAACGTTTACTCAAAGGATTTTTTGATCAGTGACGAAGAATAACTGATAACTTTTGAATACCCTCAAAGTAGTACATGCATGTATACTGTACTTTTTCACCACACTATGATGTTTTTGGCTGTATTACATACGTTAATTGGTGGCTGAAAGTTACGTTTTGCTGGCCATGCCAGCTGTCATCGTAATTTGGGGACCGAGCAGGTTTTTACAGGCCGGGGCCGCAAAATCAGCTGTCCGCTTACTTACTTAAAACATGAATGCATTTTAAAAACACAATCAAAGTCCATAGCATTGCAATTAATAGAATTGTGTTATTGTCACCGTTGCCTAGCAATTATTTATTTTTATTTTTGCTGATTCCTCAAACTATTTCTTCACATAACCTTAAAGTTGTAGTTGTGTTGACTGTCAGTGTACATTATTATAGTGGTGAATAGTGGTATTAGGGTATAGTGTGGTGAAAAATTGCGTTCGTACCACGGACCGAAATGGTTTTGCAGCTCTCGATCGATTTAAGTTCTCGACTTCGTCTCGAACTTAAAAACTATCTCGAGCCGGCAAAACCTCATTTTCGGCCCTAGGTACGAAATATACTATTATGTTTTATTGTTATCATCTCTAAGTAGTATAGTAGTGCTAATGAATTTTTGGCTCCACAAAGAAACTTTTTTTATTCAAAGCTATCTTTTACTGTCCATGCAGCATATAGGCCTAGTCGAGGCCTCAATGGTTATCCATAGTAGCATTTAGTCCAGGAACTAAATGCTTCCATGGATAACCACTAAACAAAACTATTCATCGATGATAATTAGGTTAGTATTGGTTGAATTTTTTACTACAGTTAAAGATTCAGTTTCTGGTACAATATAGCTCTATAAATTTATAGAAAACTGTAGGTTATTTTGACATGGGTATACTTAAACAAAAGGTTTATGCAAGTATTTTAAATGCTAGTTGGGATTAAAAATTGAATATTCTAGTTAAATTTAGGCAAAGATAAAACATAAATAATAAGAAAACTGGTTTTTCGATCATAAAGATCTTGACATTCCTTTTGAACCAAACGAAATAATACTGATAAAGTGTGTTCCTTTAAAATTGTCACTGAGATAATGCTCACGAGAGGAAGATTTGGATTTGATATATTTAATTGAACTAAATAAATAAAAACTAGCTAAATAAAAGCTTGTGGACAAAGAAAATGGTTCTGTTTGAAGTTACGCAGGAGTTATAAAGATGAGGACGAGATCGAATAATTGAAACTGCACCAAAAGGAAGTTTTTCACAAATCTTTACGACCATTTTCCTACGACACATCTCTTTAGTTTAAAAAACTTATTCTTAGCCACCCTTTCAGATCTCTACAAAAAAAACCTTTCTCAAGACCATCCATAACTCCATAACTCTTAGTTACTTTGAGAAACATTTATCGATAACAAATCGTTTCTCACGGTCCGTCCATACCACAGAAGGAAAGTTATCCGAGAAGCAATGCGGATTAATAGATTAGTTTAGCGGGAGTGACGACCAAAGTTGGGTGCGGACAAATGATGCGAGCACCCTTGATGAACGCAACCCCTGTCTTGTGTAATTAAACTAGCCCTTTGGAGGGTAGAGCTAAAAATGTCTGTTATATAGAAATGAATTGGATTAGAAGGCTGGGATTTACGGGGGAGTAAAGTCCAGTTTGGACGGCGGACCCCATACGTTACAGGGCTCATTAACTACGCTATTGTTCTACCCCTTTCTTCCGGCAAGACTGCCGCATTCAAGATTAGACAATGGCTTGATAACCACCACTGATACTGGGTTACAGGCTACGGGATAGGATAATGTTATAAATACAGTCTTGAAACTGGAATGTGTGTAAGGTAAAGTACACATAACATACTGCAATTATATTGATTGTTATTTTTATATTGTCTACCCCAGAGGCTTTTTGTAATTAAGATTAACACTTGAAAAACTAGACATGCCATAAATTGATCCTTACGCCCTCAATCCAAAGTCTGAAGTCCGAGACACAATCCTTTATGTCTCGTATATCTACACAACATTACTACAACTGTACTAGGAGCAATACTTACTTTAACTGAATACTACTTTTAGTACTATACATCCCTTTTTAGGGACATACAAAATTATTTTAAGAGAATGTTAAAATTTTTTTAAGCTTACGAGGATTATTGCAGACCTAATTTTGATTATATTCTGTTAGAGGATTTCATAGCGCAACCACTTGCAAATGTGTTAGCATATATTCGTTTCATGTCAAGGAAAAAGAAACTTGATGCGATTTACTATGGCATATTGCTCGTATATTGTTTGCACAATTAAAAACTGTTGCACTAATAATAACGATTTATAATACTGATGAGAAAGTCATCAAATACTTTCAAATGCATCTTAATATTGTTTATCCACTAACATTGTAAAACATTATTCCCGAATAAGTCTTTGTTTTGAACACATACAAGGCATCGCGAACCTTTCTCATAAAGTACTGGTGATGAAACTTAACGGACCTTTAAACATTTACCCTCATAACTTAACTCAAAGCTTTAAAATGTCCGGGTTTCGCAGTTTATAAAATATCACTTTAAACAGATCGTTTCATCTCCAATATAAAAGGATATAATTCAGAAGGAGGAAGCAGAGTCGCTGTCGTCACGTTATTCACCGAGACCGGGAGAAGGTCCAGAAAATATAATAACTTTCTGGAGCCGAGGGAGATTTACGCGGGTAAAAACTCGGTGTCAAAGGACGTTAGGAAGGGTGAAGGGTAGGAAACAAAGGGTTGAAATAAGGGACAATGAGGGGACCGGACAAAGCTCTTGGGGAAGCCAAGGCAGGGTCAGCGTGATAAGGCGCTCGGTATCACTCGGGCGCCCTTCGGTTTAAAAAAGTTGGTGGCGTCGGGGGCGGCGGGGCGGCGGAACATGTGTGTCCACGTTTAGAGTTTGCGTCGTTGATTCCCCGCCCTCCCGCGCCGCCCCTCCCCCCCTCATTCAAAAAGCCCTCATTCGCTCGAAAACTGTAAACTGTAAACGGCCGCGTGTCTAGTGTTTCTGTGCGGACGCGTGGTTCCACAACACGCGCGACCGCGACGGCGACCACACGCGAGGTGAAAAAAACATTCATTGTCAACAATAGACCGCATTGTTGTCCATCATTGTTGACACCCGTCGCTACTCATTGTTGAATAAAATTGTGTGGAGTGAAACCCATTTTCTGCGTTATAACAGTGCGGTGGAGGATGGTTGTATTATGAGGAGTGCGGTTGTGCGATAGTGCGGACAATGCATCTGACGGGAGGCACGGTGTCCCCACAGGATGGCGGGACGGCGATGATCAACGACACCTACACCAAGATGACCACGGACATCCTGACCGAGAGAACCATGGGAGACTTCCTCTCGGAACACCACGGAGGCCTTACGAGGACGGGGAGTCCGCTGTTCGTCTGCACAGAGCTTCCGCCCCACTGGCGGTCCAACAAGACGTTGCCCGTGGCCTTCAAGGTGGTGGCTCTAGGAGACGTGGTGGACGGCACCGTGGTCACCGTTAAGGCGGGCAACGATGAGAACTACTGTGCCGAGCTGAGGAACTGCACCGCCGTCATGAAGAACCAAGTGGCCAAGTTCAACGACCTCAGGTTCGTCGGCAGAAGTGGCAGAGGTAAGGATGTTCCCTGTGACGAGGTTGTGAGGCAAGTTGAGGTGGAAAGTGAGTTGTAATGTAGAGTGGTGTAAACAAGAAAATGTGTCCAAATATTACTTCGACCTGAATTTAATACTTTCACAATTACGCGATAGAATGTCGGTGATTTCTTAGCAAAATGTTATTGTTTATAATAATGGTAAAAAACAAATATTAATAAAAATTCACAGTTAAAATAACACAATAAACAACCAATTTATTCAAAATCAAAATAATGAACCCAGTCAACAGCATTAAAAGCCCAAAAAAAAATTGTCATCACTCACTTACAACCCTAAAATTGCCCCCAGATATTAATTATCATGGTTAAGATAATGTCCAAATAAACTCGTCACAACACATACAAAGAAATGGCAGCCTACTGTGTAAAAGACAGAAATTAATCATTACAAATGTACATTAAAAAAATGTAAAGGAACATATTTGATTCCATGTAACAAAACCAAATACTTACTTTGGTTTTAAATTGTTTAGAGTTCGATTTTTGTACAATATTCTTTCATAAAATTGCAAATGTACGCTTGAATTGCGGATAACTAACAGCACAACTAAAACACAAGGTAAGAACGCATCAGCAACCATACCCTTTTACCAAACAAATGTTTGCGACACCTTGATTCACATACAAACGGAAAGCCAAAACAAAATTTACACTCAGCAAAACTCTAAAAATATCATACATACACCCCAAGATTTTCTCTATTCGATAAACTGCTATTTGACCCCAAAAAGACAAGAAAATAAGTAAAAGAAAGGCGCGCTGATTCCCGCGTAGGCGCGATGGAGACGCGTCGCACGGCCGCCTCGCGACGTTTTAAGACGACAAACTTTTCCTTTCTTGCCCTCCCGCCACCCAAAACTTCGTGCAAAGTTTTTCGCGCATGACACATTTTTAACGCGGTCCAAGACGTTGGGGTAGTCGCTCAAACTTTATGTGACACTAAACTTTTAACAGCCCCTAACAGATGTCTCCAGCCCCCGGTAACTCGCGGCGGCGGCTTCCGCTCGGAGAAATTGTGTTTTGTGGGCGTCAAACGGTTATGACACCTTTAATACACTGTGAGGGGTTAGGGAATACTTACTTAGGGGCAATTTTCTGCTTTATGATTTTGAGTATTTCGATTATACTAATTACTTTATGTGGATAAAAATGTAGTTTAGTTTTATAGAACGATTCCTCTAAGGAAATTAAAAGAAAAAATGCCCTTAAGCACTTTCTCTATAAAAAAATCAACACTTTATAACGAATTCAGCGAACATTAGGGTGTGAATAATATATATATTAGGATTTAAAAACTCCATGGTCTACAATTGTCAATTTATATTTCTTTCAAATAAACCTAAGTATCGTCCTGATTAGCGAAGACGTTTTATATATGTAAAAAAGTCAAGCAGAAATGGTCTTTTCTGTGTTTTCAAATTTGTTGTAGCGTAATCAACCATTTTCTAGTTAAATATTTGTGTAAATATTTTGAGAGCAAACGAAAACTACCATCACATAATAAAACTATTAATTAAAATACATGAATGTGCTTTGATTGTCATTTTCATTGTTTTAAAATAAAATCATAGAACCTTTCTTGATTTGTATTCGGCTGAAGAAATCATGTTAAAATCAGAAAACTAATAGAAAACTAATTCATGAAAAAGGTAGGAAAATGTCCAACATTAATTTTTTGATTTATGCTAGATGTAAACTTTAGGCTTAAAAAATATCAATCGTCCTGAATATCGTAATTTGACGTACATTGTATTGCAATAAAAATATCTTTACAATGAATATTTTTGAATAACAGTAGTTTAATGCAGTAGTAGTACTACTATTTATTTCCGTCAAACAAATATCATTTGAAATATTTAATGTTTATTTTAATGGAATAAAAATATTTGTACATCATAAAACGTTAAGCGTATCATCACTTTTGGGCTGCCTCAGAATTGATAAATATTCATTGAACTGAATTGCCTATTCTTTGGAAATTTTAGGGGTAGCTAGTTTAAAAATTTTCTTTTCTAAACAAATGCCAAAAATTATTATTTTTGAACGAATACGACAATTAAAACTCCAGAAAAGTTCATTAATCCTTTATACGCTTTTTACCATACCATATAGAAAGGGTTCAACATTTTCAAACTCATTAAAATATTAGTTTTTTAGCATTAAAGGTTTTGATTTTAATTTTTTTCTTTTATTTTTTTTATTTAAAGGGGACTGTTACTGTTAATAAGCTTGTATGATTGTACCGATAATTCTTATATGTCTAATTATGTTATTTTGGTAAAACAGGAGCTGGTAATAATAACCCATGAAAACTCAAAACACTTAGTCCATTTTAAACCTGTGTTAAGTAAGAATAGCTAGTAAATCTTCTACACTAGTATTACGGAATATTTGATCTTATATTTTACCCATAACTAAGTAATATTCCCTATATAATGCATTTAACAGATACATACATTTAATATCCAATTCTGTTATTAAAAAAAAATAGTTAGATCTAATTTGGTACAAGAATTAATTAAAAATATTATTAACACTGTACAGTATTACATAATTTAAACACTTTACCCTCCGAGTTGATGGTACCATTTTATCATAGTTTTATTATTGTGAAGACAAATCCATCATCCCCTACATTAAACAATGTTCAAAGTGTGTACTGAATCAATAAGTGAACCCTATAATATTCCAACACCCCCTTATGGCAAGTGCAGATACCCGCAAGACAGGCAGCGTCGGCTGCTACTGTAGTTGCTACGTTGCTTGGAAGGGGTTATTTTAATTATTTGCAACGTAGAAGGGTTGTCACGCACGTAGGGATTCCCCTAGGCTCTATTCATCAGCTGATAACAGGGTATTGATCTATACCCAACTTGGGGATACGCGCTTAGGGATCAAATATAGCCCAAGTTAAACTTGTTAGGTTTTGAGCTAAAATTGTTAAGTGTCAAATTAAGGTCATGAGGTTTCGAAGTATATATGTTTTAATCATCTCTTTGGTTATATCAAATAAGCGTGGATAATCATATCCGCAAAAAGAGTGCACTGATGGCAAATACTGAAAGCTTCGGAAAAATCAACGACCAAACCGAACTTAAATATTAATTGTGAACTATGTTATGTATTTTATGTTACTTTAACTGATATAAGAAAATAGCAAGGGGAGAAATAGAATTCTAGACTGCAAAAACACTGTCAGTGACCTTTTCAACAATGTTAGTTTTGAATTGAAAAAAGCTACATATGGTCTATTCCATATACAGTATAGATATATAGATGATTCCTTTGAAATATACAAAAATCAATAACCTTAAAATCGTGTCAAAGAAACTTTTAATTATCTCTAATATCTATAATTATAAAATATAGAATAAAATAGTCCAGAATAAATCGTATACAAATAAACTTGGGCGTCACTGAGCTAAAGAATGTGTAGAAGTCTAAAAGCGTATATAATTTAAAAAGGGCATACATCCGTAAGATGAAAATGCTAAAACATTTGATTTTAAACCCATTTTTTACATTTTTATAGGTTTAAATGGTATAGGTCGCATATATAAAGAGTTGCTACGGCGAATTAAAAGTATAATAACAATTAGTATAGGATACGGCCGTAATGTAATTGTTGTTTTAATCTGTGTCTTTTTAACGATGGGTTTTTATCCATCGATGCAAGACAACTTTGTTGGAAATCCTAATTTTTTCTTCGTTTGGTTCCTTTCGTACTACATCAGATGTTAAATATAAATGTTCTGTTGATTAGCTATAAGCCACACATTTCAAGATTAAACCGATGATAGTGTATGTTTCAATCGTTAATAATTAAACCATTAACTTGTATAAGTTAATGGCACCTTGAACCTAGTATGTCCGAAAATATAGTATTTATAAATATGATAAGATATAGTTTAGGGCAGCTCCACATAGGGAATTAGGATTATTCGTGAAAAAATTGCCATTGACTTAGAAACCAACTAACACATTTTGAAACAGAGCACGTAAAGTGATATCAAATTTGGATTTCAAATTGCTTGATATTAAGAGACATTTAATTTTTTATATTTGTTGTTAACTGTTTTAAGTGTCTACTTAAAAAAAAACTTTAAACGTCTTTCAAATAAAATAGCTTCTATAAAAAATATTATATTAAAAAATTAGTTTAAAAGCATGATTTTAAAGACTTATAGTTGAAAATCATTTCTTTTCCTAAAGTTTATTACGGATACAGTACTTAGAAACACAATTTTGATTGTTGCTCTTAATTTTTGTACCTTGGACTAATAAGCTGTAGAAACGTTATTTCAATCCTATATCATAGCAATATATCATAAATGCAAACTTAGCCTCCCTTTTACAATATTTTATTGAATAAAATTAGAGGGATTCCGTACTATTGTTAAAAGCTTAAAAATTAGAATATACCATACTATCATTACAAGCATTTACCGAAATGTTTAAGGTCCGCCCGTTGATAGATTGTTAGATTTGAGATCGATCTCATAAACAAACTTCTGTGGAATGACGAAAAATATTAATGTTTGCAGAAACAGTTATATCTATAAATTTATCTTTGATCGTTGAGTTTCGTCGGCCAGTCAGTTTTATTTTTATTTTATTGGTGGATTTGTGTTTTGTTGCCACTACAAATGTTACATGAAACCCTTTGCAAGAATGAATGATACCACCAGTTTAAACGTTTGTGGCGGAATACTAATTGAAACTACAAGATTAAAGTTTGCATGGTTAAATTATTAGCAGCAATTGCTGCGCCAAAACCAATGAACGTTACTATGAACTAATGCTTTTAAAATTCAATTTTTTATTTTTCTTAGTTAACACGGATATGACATAAAACATCTATAATCCATTTCCAAAAGTTATAAAATGGTTAAAAACTATTTCGTTCAATTTTACGCTTTAAGGTTATATACAAAACCAAAAAGAATCATTGTAGGTA